AAAGGAAAGGAAAGGAAAGGAAAGGAAAGGAAAGGAAAGGAAAGGAAGAATAGAGTAGAGTAGAATAGAGAAGAGAAAAGAATGGAATGTATATTAATTAGAATAGAATAGAATAGAATAGAATAGAATAGAATAGAATAGAATAGAGAAGAGAAGAGAAGAGAAGAGAAGAGAATGGAATGGAATGTATATTAATTAGAATAGAAGAACAGAATAGAGTAGAATATAAGTAGAATAGAGAATTCAGAATGAATAGAATAGGAATAGAATAGAACATAGAATAGAACATAGAATAGAATGGAATGGAATATAGAATAGGCTAGAATAGAATAGAATAGAATTCTTTATTAGCCAAGTGTGATTGGACACACAAGGAATTTGTCTTGGTGCAAATGCTCTCAGGGTACATAAAAGATATATTCATCAAGGGTCAAGAATCATCAGGTACAACACTTAATAGTCATAGGGCACAATAAGCAATCAGATAGATGATAGGTAGATAGACAGACAGACAGACAGACAAAGAATAGAATAGAAATAGAATAGAAATAGAAATAGAAAGGAATGGAATGGAATAGAAATTAATTGAATTATTTATTGGCCAAGTGTAATTGGACACCCAAGGAATCTGTCTTGGTGCAAAGGCTCTCAGTGTACATAAAAGAAAAAATACATTCATCAAGAGAGTCCAGAACCATATTAAGTACCACACTTAATAATAGTCATGTGGTACAATAAGCAATTAAATCATACTAGGAAACAGTCAGTATCAATCTTTAGGATGCAAGCGACAAAGTTACAGTCATACACAGTCACAAGCGGGAAGGGATGGACATAAAAAGTGGTGAGAACTTTTACCTTTGTAACTCAGGTTGTCTGGATAGGTCACCTTTTGTGGAACCGCACTCCCGTTGGCCTTCTGTGGCCTCGAAGCTGGAACAGAAAGAGAGGGTGGGGCTGACGACCAGGGGCCAGCCTGACCCAGACAGAGACCCCCCCTTCCTGGGCCACCCTCTCTCGGGGGAGCTCCAGGGGGTCCCAAGGAAGCTCCTCAGAGGTAGGTGCCCACGTTTTTTTCCTATGCGCTTCTATGCGCTTTGCATGCCCACGCGGCGCTCAACCGCCAGCCTCTTTCAAAGCTGGGGAGCTGCCCGAGCCTCGGCTGAGGCGCAGCAAAAGGCCCTGCCGCGCAGATCAGCTGAGCTAAAAAACAAGTAGGTAAGGGGGGGGGCAGGGGGGGGTAGTCAGAGGTGGCATTTGCCGGTTCTCTGAACCAGTCAAAATTCCCACTGCCGGTCCGCACGAGAACTGGTCCGAACCGGCTGAATATTCCACCTCTGCAGCTCTCCCCTTTGGATGCAGGACCTGCCGCTGGAGCAGGAAGTGGCTTGAGTCAGGCAGGAGAAGAGCCGAGCAGGAGCCCCGAAAGGAGCCCGGAGAAGTTTCCATCCCAGGGCAGCACCTGCAGGCTCCCCATCAGCCAGACCGGGAGAGGTTGGCTCAAGAGCAGCCTGGAGGACGGTCCCTGGAAGGCGGCCACCCCGAGCGCCGACACAGGAAACACAGGTTGAGGTTCCTCTACAACAGAGGTCCGTCCCCAAACTTGGCCACTTTAAGGCTGGTGGACTTCCACTCCCAGGATTCCTCCTTCTCCAATCATGTTAGCTCAGGAATTCTGGGAGTTGTAGTCCCCAAGGCTTAACAATGCCGATATTGGAGAGCGCTGCTTTAGAGCAGGGGCCTCCAACTGTGGCCGCTTTAAGACTGGTGGACTTCAACTCCCAGAATTCCTCCTCCTCCAGTCATGTTAGCTCAGGAATTCTGGGAGTTGTAGTCCCCAAGGCTTAACAATGCCGATATTGGAGAGCGCTGCTTTAGAGCAGGGGCCTCCAACTGTGGCCGCTTTAAGACTGGTGGACTTCAACTCCCAGAATTCCTCCTCCTTCAGTCATGTTAGCTCGGGAATTCTGGGAGTTGTAGTCCCCAAGGCTTAACGATGCCGATATTGGAGAGCACTGCTTTAGAGCAGGGGCTGTTAGGGATACATCCTAGCAAGGATCTGCAGGGCAGTCAGGCAGGCAGGCAAAATATGTGAGATAAGTGTTGTGTAGCTTACACTCAGTAAAAACAGATACACAGTGCCTATTAAATAGTTTTATTCCAGCAAGAGGTAAAGCATAGTCAAAACAGTCCATATATCATACACTTAGTTCAGTCCGTCCAGGGATTATTCATTTGCAAATTTCAATGTCCAAAATGAGAGGTCGGTACACTTACAAAATAACAGTCCGGTAATTTATCTCCTCGCAGTAGAGAGAGATATGCAACTAACTCAGAAACTCCTCTCTTCCGTTTGCAACTCCAGTAATTGCCAGCAAAGCGTCAGGGAATCGTCAGCTTCTCGTCAGCATCTCTTGCTCCCTCTTATGGTGTTTTCACACCACACCCAACATTACATGCTTTGCATTTAAAGTAACACACACTTTAAACTAAGAATCATAGCTTATATATATATTATCTTACCCAAACTAGTTAGGTGACCAATGTTATACCTAACAGGGGCCTCCAACTGTGGCCGCTTTAAGACTGGTGGACTTCAACTCCCAGAATTCCTCCTCCTCCAGTCATGTTAGCTCGGGAATTCTGGGAGTTGAAGTCCACCAGCCTTAAAGCGGCCAAGGTTGGAGACCCCTGCCTTAGAGATAAACCAAGGGTCTTCA